AGACGCGTCAGATACAACGTATCGGAATATTTTGAAGTCAACGATTGTTGAAAAAAATTATTTTCTATAAATGTTGATGCTGCAAAACTCGGTTAAGAGCTAAGAAGGTGTGGGGGTTGCATGCTGCAGCACATGCTGATTGGAGGTTTAACCGATGTGCCCGTATCGTCCAACCATTTGATACATCTCGTACAGCTTCAGTGGTCTGTTTAATATGCGTTACTCCTAGGAGTAAAAATCTCAAGTTTAACTCAAACGATACAATGTTTTGCATTCACAAGCCCTGAAATAAATCAAAAGGTATGTGCTTACCCTTTCGTATATCCACTTAAAGTGAACTCTGTTCTTGACATATGGATACATTAGAAGGTCGAGGACAATAAACACTGCTCACAAACGATCCTCTTTAGAATATCATTTTCCAAGAAGCTATAGACGAAAACCTGTAATAACTAAGCCTCGACAGTGGCTTTTATGACATACGTTGCACCGGTATTACACTGAAGTAGTTTACTGTAGCAGTAAACTGTAGTTTCAATTAGCCATCATTTCCTTCACTCTATTTTTTCCTGGTATCTGTCATTGTTTTTCTCCCACAATGCGTATTCGGGTAGAATGGTTTCCAAACCTCAATACTAGACCTATTTTCAAATAGAATAATGAAGGCTGAATAATTTTCAGTGGAACTTGTATAATATATTCTGTAAATGCTCTGACTGGTACTCTTTGTTTCTAAACCCGTCCGCAGATCGATCCGAAATCGATTGTATTCAATTGTTCATAGGTTATTTAGTATTTCTTGCACACCTGCACAAACCGTGTTACAATAAACGTTTGGTTTTGATGATGATGTTTTCTCAGAACAGCAAAAGTTTTCAGTAACATTCGGTTCACCATTGCGGCAGTTCAGTGAATGTGAGTGTAGATCTCTTCTCGCTAAAATACATCCCTGATCTAAGCCATTATGTTGAACAAGGATCACAATACCCGAGCAATTTTCTTTCAAGCTGTTCGCGAATAGATGCCAAATCAATGAACAGAATTTTTGGCTGTCAGCAATCACCAAAGAAATGCTCTTCTTCAAAATAAACTAATAACCAAAACAGCTAGGCGATTAAACAACGCTTTAAAAACTTGTGGTTGTATTGCCTTGTGTTCTCCATTTTATCCAGATTCTAACTTCAGACTGCGTTAATTTAAAGTCCCGAAAATCAATATTTTTACGACGACAATATAATTTCCGTTCAAATATCATTTTAGTCATCTAGTCAGTTAACCAAGGGCTCTGCAGCATCCACAAAATCAAGTTTTATTTTTAAATGGTTTTTAACGAGCGATTTCATATCAGGGGACTTAGTACTTTTCCGGAAAGTTAGAATGTTAAAACTAGCATATTTAATTGGGCAATGTAACGTCGTCATCAAACATTCATTTATTAAAATTACTGGAATATAGAGTAATACGATTGTGCGTACTCAAACTTCGATAAGGCCTGGAAACTAAGCTTTTGATCAACAAAATGATAGGATGAAATAACAATGTTGTTTGTCTCCGGCTGACAACAAGTAATAACCTATTTTGTCACATGAAGTGGTTTCTAACGGATTTGTCTGATTCTATTTTTAGTCTACCCAAACAGATCGATCCGCACGAACAATGTCACAAATCGGGGTGGGACAATTATATCCTGTTGATTGTTCAAAATCTTTTTTATATTCTATTCTAAATACGTTTTATCGATCCGAAGCACATGTTTATTTATATTGGTGACGTGCATACCTAAACTATGTTTTGTGTGTGTGGGTGTGTTTACCAATGAGAGGATTGCGTACACAAAGAGTGGCTGATTTAATTTGCACTCAGGTGTTGTCTGATCACATTTCCCGTTTCGCTATCAGACTGTTCTGAACCCGGGTCTGCATGATATCAACTTGTAATTTCCTTGTATTCTCGCCAAAATCATGTTGAAGGTTGATCGAATATAGTTCTGTTGATCACTAGCTATAGGGTATTACCACGAGCAAAGTGCTTTGTAAAATACGAGGAAATACATCGCGTAGATCGACCTGGTGGTTGATGATGAACGTAATGTAAATGTGGTGCATGAAATATGCATGAAAAACTACAGATATCCTGTCTGTGAAGTATTGAATTCTTTTCAGCAATATAGCAAGAAGACAAATGTGGCAAGATGTTAGCATTTCTTTCAATCTTCTCAATCGTTAACTTAAAGCAAGCAGCCACCCATATAGTACATGGGTTTGTTCAATTACGGTGAATGAACGTGCAAAATTATGCAAAGATTACTAAATATAGAAGTAGAAAGTCAACTCCATGGATTGATCGTATCAATCTGCTTCTTGAGATACAGAGAGATGTAGATTGGTTGAATTAAAATATTATCAAAGTGTTTAAACATGTCTATAATCTGTAACAATAAAAATATCGTCCACCTAACGTTTGTACGGGGTGGATCTGGATATATAGTCTCTTAGTTTTCTCTCGTTCATTCGAAAAATACATCCTTTCAAATGAGACCCATTGCCCATGCTCATTGTCACGCCATCAATCCGTTTGTACGTGGTCCGTTCAAACTCAAAGCGAGTATTTTCTACACACATAAGAATAAGTTCTCTTAAGTATCCAAGAGCAATATTAAGGGGAAAATTTTCCAAGGAAATCAATTGTTATTCAGTGGTAAATTGGTGAAAAGCGAACCCACATCTATCGAATACATTCTCTTTAAGGATACTGTCCGGTTTTCCAAAATGTTAGACAATTCAAAATACTCTATTAAACAAAGGGGTATAATAGACTTACGAATGACAGCTAAAATGTCTACCCTCCTTCGAGAGAGTTTCGCATGCACAGAATTGGTCTCACTGGAGCCCCAAGTTTGTGAACTGTGCCAAAACTCTCATTTGTGATGTTTCCGTTCCCAGTGACTTCAATTGTTTTTATAGTAAGCCTCAGAAACGCAGCCATAAATCAAAAAATCTGTAGCTTTCTTTTTATTAGGTGTTCGATGAGATGACATTTTTGTGGTGTGTTGTCGATTTATAATTTTCTAGTATCCGAAAGAATTTTGATCATTTTGGCGACATAACTGTATTTCGTCGAAATTACCGTTCAGAGTCTCTGAGAGTCTCATATTCCGGTTCAGAGTTGTCTAATGCTCCAGAGTGAGGCAGCAGTATTGTCAAACCAGTGCAATAAAGTGGGAGTGACAAGAATCCACCAGTTTTGCACGGACTCACTAGGCGTTTTTGGCTGATTTGGGTGAAAGTTCTTTTCACTGATCATAAAAGTTTTCAAATTGGGCAAGAGTTTGTAGATTGTTAAGCATTCTTGGTGATGTGTGGAACTTCATATTCGTGGATAGAATATCAGATTTTATTTGTGTAACTGTTACAAATGTGAGAGATTATGAATGTGCTCTTATAATGGGATGGAAAGCACAGGTGAACGGTACTGTGGCAGTGAACCAACTAGTTTTTCTGTGGTTCACTTTCTTGTCTTCTGACGGAGATCATTTTGCAGAATTTTTCAAATTGGATTCGAATTTCAGATATCGAAGAAAAACGTCGAAAAACGTTATGTCTTAATAAATTTGGTCATCTGGGCGTGAGAAGCGAAAGCTTTTTCTTTTTCTTTTAATGAAATGGATAAAAGGGGACTTAATATTTCAAAATATACTGAGAAAGAACTAGCTCTTTTCAAATACTAAACAATTCCCCAAAAACATTCATTGAGAATGAAAGATCAGTGCTCAGCACAATTTGCAACAGCTTAATATAACTTGAGGTCATGCAGTATAATAGGAACTCATATGTTTTCACAAAAGTCATTCTCAAGTGTGCACAATCACATCTACGAGGAACGGACGCGGAGGGATCCAAGCACTGCTACACCCTCAGGGCAAGCGAAAAGAGAATACCGCTTATGCACTTGATACTAAAGTAGTATTGTGATAAGAACGTACTCTGGGCTCTCGCAGCGCAGCGGAGTGAACAAATGTGCGCGACAGGATGTCCTTCGGCTCGTATTCTCACAGCGAGAGACGATAGGAAGCTTTGAGCGCGACAAACGATAAACGACGGCGGCAGGAATGCGGGACACAGGTTGGCGAGGAAACA